GATGTAACGGGTTGCTTAAACCTTATATAAAAATAAGCGATAAGAAATTTTATCGGGAAATCAGCTGTGGCAGGGTAGAAAATTGAGCCACTAGCGAAGCGGCCATCTTGCGTGAAGATTTCCTTTTTTGTGTTGTCTTTTTTAAGCCTTTTTTATCGCGTTTCAAACGATAAAGTTTTAGAAATCAGCCCGTCTCCTCAGTGTAATTCTAATCTGATCTCTTCTGTGAATTTGCGCTAATTTGAATCAAACTGACAGGAGCCCTTTCCATTAATATACATCAAAGAGCCTAGATAATGAAACAATGTTATAATCTTGCATACGAAACTGTAACATACATACATATCACACATACATACTAACCATCGCCAAATTAATAGTAAGATACATAACATACATCATCATGACTACATACATACATATCTACATACATACATAGTATGTATGTATGTATGTATGTATGTATGTATGTATCTTACTATAATTTGGCGAATGTTGTATGTATGTGTGTATGTATGTATGTACAGTATGTATGTGTGTGTATGTGCGCGTGCGTATGCGCGTGCATGCGTGCGTGTGTGAGCGTGTATGTGCGATGCTAGGGTTGAGTGGATCCTATCGTATCACGATGAGCTAGTACTGTTGTTCTCACCGGATAGTTCGTATGCTGTATGTGTTGCTGATGCAAATATGGCTTTGTGGTCGTAACTATACCCACTACGTACACCTGGCCTCTGTTTTTTTATTCTTTACATGCAGGATTTTTCTTGTTTGGAATATGATAACTGCAACTTTTAAGTGATTTCCTAGCTACATGCAGCTGCTCTAGCTCTCTCACCGTTTTCTATTCCCCTCCATACACAGATGCACGCAAACGCGCACATACGCGCGCACACACGTGGATACACGCACGCAGGATTATGTCTGTGCTCCATGTGTGGGTTGTTCTGCTTTCACAGCGTTACTGCTTTCACAGCGTTACTGCATCTGGGACTTTTCTTCTGGTTCCTGTTATCAATATGCTACGCGCCGGCAGACGAAGCATACAAGGTCGCGGTGAGCACAGGCACTTGGAGCGTTTCAATAAAATATAATGCTAAATAAATACGAAATCTATTTACTACCAAAGTCTTAATCGTTAATGTTTCTCTACTCTCTTTCGCCTATTATTGCCGACAATTTCCTATAAATGCCGTCCAAATGCTCCTCTGCAACACACAAGTACACTGCACGCACGCTGCTGTGCACAAACAACTAGAATATAGAGGAGCGGCTGAGGAGCATATATTCTAGTTGTTTATTAGTGTATATATATATTATATCTGTAGTAGGGCTGAGAGGGTCTATGTCCCCCGGGGTACTGCTGGAACGTACCCTGGTACTATATTATATGCCGGACCGTACCTCGCCTACTCCACTAACGAGTCTAGGGAGTCGCCTACGCCTACTCCCTAACCCGAACCCGAACCCTAAACCTAACCCTAATCCTAACCCTAACCAATAGTGACCTGGGTACGTTCTGGTACACCGCACCGTACCCAGGGTACGTTCCGGCAGTAACCTGGGGGACATAGACTCTATGAGCACTGGTACTAGTAGTAGTAGAGTTCCTTAACCAACTTACTAGGCCCCCTAATTGTGTATCGCATATTTCACACACGATCGACTGCATAAACATGTAGGCCAAATCCTATTTGACAACCCCAGGTTTAAAAACCCTAACCCTAACGGTATACCGGACCGGACCCAGGGTATGTTCCGGCAGTACCCTGGGGGACATAGACCCT